AGGTGTCACAGCTAATATGATAGTAAGTGTTGAGCCTGTACATATGATTTGAAAGGGCCAAACTGAAAATATTAATGGCAAGTCAGTGGTATGTACTGATTTTTTATTGTTTTGTGAATTTCATTGATGCATGTGTCTTGTGTTTAATCAAATTCACTCCCTCTCCCTCTGTTCTAATTACCCACTATCATAACGCTTTCTCGCATCTGCATACTCACAATTTTTTAAAAATGTACTGAGTCCATCACAGCCTAGCCATAGATACTTAAGCTACATCTCTTAAAAATACTGACTCTATCTTCAAAGGCTAAGTGTTGCCATTGGCAGGTGGTTTGTGATGATCCCTTCTACACTGCTGCACATTAAGCTTGGCTAATCTTGTACATGTCTTTTGCATGCAGGTACATCTGTGGGATCAGGCAAGTAATGACATTCATGTGACAGATATGGAAACCAGATAAGCTATGTCTATATTGTAATATCATCAGAACACTGAATGCCTTGCAAACGTGAACAGAGAGTTCATATCACACCAGCAGCAGTCAATAGGGCCACCTCAGGAAAGACACCCTTCAGCTGGGCAGTTGTAGCAGCCACAGCAGATGCCCCAGCATCCCTGGGACTTTCCAGGTCAGGAGGAGCTGCAGTCAGTGCTGGGAACAGGCAGGAGCAGGACCAAGGGTGTTATCCATTCTCTACTGCTGCTTTTTAGAACACGGAGTCTGCTATGATGATGTTATCAACTCATCTTATGATTGCCAGGACATTTATAGAAGCGAGATCTGCTAGAGAATTACATGTAATTGTCTGCACACATGGTCCCTCTGCTATTGTGGCAATCCAGTTCCTGGGATTTGAATTCAACCATTCTTTATAACTTTTCTGTTTTTCCACTGGGCTAATTAAGAGTGGTCTTTCCACATGACATTCAGGCATTCCCTGAGTGCTTTTTAGATATTAGTCACATAAGGTACCACTGCAGGTTTTGTAGAATCAGGAAGTATATTTTCCCAACAATTACTAAACAAACAGTTTTCTCCAGTTTATTTTTCATCTAGGAGTTATCAGAAAATCTCTTGAAGTTTGTCTTATAACATACCTTTCTACTGGCCTTTTCATATCATGTGGTTTTTATTCATGATTTGTTTCTAATACTTTTGTGAGTAAAATTAGGGTTAATAATTTTCTTCCTTCTAGGTAGAAATAGTAGTTTTCTGGTTTTGTGTGTTGAAAATAATCCTGTACTTCCAAGCTCTCCTGTTCATCTATGCATTTTGTAAAATGCCTTATTTCCTGAGTTTCCTTTGTTAATTTATCTCTGATTTTTCTGTGTTTACATTGCCTCTAATTATGATCTACAGTGCAGCTTGAATTGATGACTTTTGTCTCTTTCTAACCTTCTTTATATATTCTTCCTTCTCCATGAATTTTAACAGACCATGTTTCTCGATACAGTGATACTGTTCATAGCCATTTTCTTCCACCACTGTAAATGTCTCCTCCCATGTTCTGCTGTGGTAGGAATGTTGTTCTGGTATCCTTTTTTTTTTTTTTTTTTTTTTTTTTCTTCTTTAGGATAAAGCTGGAGAAGGTGGGTTCAAAGTAATGGGAGAGCAAAGTGGGTTCCACAGCAGGCGACGATGACTGAGGCAGAGGGGATAGCATGACAGGCAGACAGAGCGTGAGTGACAGATGAGTTTATTAGAAAGGGGAGTGTGGGGGAAGGAGAGGAGAAATGGAGACACTGGGAACAGGAGGCAGAGAGAGAGAGAGGGAGGGAGAGGTTAGAGAACTGCTTGCTTAAAGAGGGCAAGGCTACACATGTGTACTCAGTCCTTCCTCAGCCCTGTAACTCGTGACATAGCCATGATGTGGCCACGCATGGCATGCAGAATGCCAGTTTCCAATGTTCCCTCCTCTTATTAAAAGGGTGGGGGGTTACTGTGGCAGGTTAGGGGATGAGAATGTCAAGTGTCGAGTTCTCAAGACTACTTCCTGCTGACCTGAGGGGGGGCGTTGGTCATTTTTGGGGGACCTGAGAAACCCTGGGTGTTGCCACCTCCTGGACTTTGTGGTTGCTTCATCGAAGTCTTGGCTGTGTGGAACTCTAGGACTGCTTTAGACCTGGCAAAATGTTGGCAGAGTTAAGGACAAGATTAGGTTTAGAATAAGAATTTTTCTTCTTAGGGCCTGGTACTTGAGGGGAGAATTGTAAGATGAGGGAGGTGTCCCCGAAGTGGTTCCAAGAGAAGGGAAAGGGTGTCCCGGAACCAGGAAGAGGTTGAATAATATTTATTTGGAGTGAATCTGACCTGTTTGGGTAAGTCCAATTTGGCTCCCAAAGAGTCATTTGAGTTTTTGAAAACATAAATATTAGGCACATCAGCAGCATACTCATGTCAGAAATGATTTGGCTGGAAGCATTAACACTATTAAAATTGATAGATATTTTTAGCACAATGAAAAGCATCTTAATATTGAACTTACACTTAACTTGCATTTCTCCATCTTGTTAATGTCTTTCTTCTCATACCTTCATAACTTATATTCTTAGACTTTCATACATCTTATACTTTCCTTTCTTTATACAGATAAAATTTAAAACACCAATTGCTGAAATCTGTTTTGTAACAGTTGGAGCCTTGGTTGCTGCTTTAAGCTGGCAATGCTACCAGTCATCAAAAGCCTCGGAGTTCTTGAGAAGGATAAACTTTTACGTGAATTAATGATTAAAGAGTAAGAGACTTACTAGCTGACTGCATGGACAGCCACCCCCAGGTCAGAGGCTTTGAGGACAGTCATGTTCTGCTGATAGTTGAGACCTGTGGATTAGGAGCTTTTGGAAGACTTACCTACTGTTGGCCTAAGCAACGCGGAGAAAGTCGATTCCATTGTCCTCTTGTCCATGGTCCTTAAGAGTCTTTTGTAGCACTTGAAAGGCAGAATTGTTCAGTGCCTAGCATTGCTACTTTTGTGGGTAGAGTTTCTTCAGTGTCCAGTCTTTGCAGCTGGCCTGTCTCTGTTATACAAACTTTTTAATAAAACATTTTAAATGTAGTATTCTCTAAAGCTCTGAGCATTTCAAGACTGTCTGTCTAATATAATCTCAGCAGATAAAATTCGTCTTTAGTTATTTGCCTTAAGCACATCAGTGGCTAGGTAAGGCTTTATCCCTGTAAGTAATTAATGTCTGGAAAACTGGAGCCAAGCTGAGAGGCTATGGAGGGATGTTTTACTCAAAGCCCTCCAGCCTGACTGTAACTGCTTTTAACTTAGTAGGTTAGATTTACATCTGTAAAAGACAAAGAAGTAGAGGAAAATTCCCTTTTGTAGTAGAAGCTTAAGTTTTATAAACAGCCTACAGGAAGGACTAGGTGGCAAAATATTTTGTAAATTTGAAGTACATTTTTATAGCCTTAAGTGTTTACCATCATTTGAAGATACATAACAATTTAGAAAGATTTTCCACCCACAGTTAAATTTATGTTGCATAAAAAAACCTGAAAGCCTCGTTTATGGGTAGAAAATGAGAAACTCTCAGAGCATCCTGAGCAGAGGCTGTCTCAGGCCAGCTCACTGTGAGCCGCTGGCATCTGCATGGAGAAGAAGCAGACTAGAAGGGCAGCAGAGATAGACCAAACAGGAGAGAGAGAAATTTGAACAGGAGCATTAGATTGTGAGTGGACTTATGGCTAGGCCACATGGCCAAGATGGCAGCTGCCATAAACAGGGTTCTAACTGCTAATGGAAATTAGAAAGTTTTGAGCTATAGCCACAGAAGGGCAGCAGAGATAGAACAAATAGGAGCATAAGATGTTTAGCAGAACAGGACATTTTTAGGTGGAGGGAGGTTCCCACTCTGTGACAGGCTACAGCTGCAGCAGGCAGTTAAGTTTTAACATGCCAGGAAGAGGAGAGAAACAGACAAGTTTAAGGAAAGAGATTGTTTAGCAGACAGGTAGATGAAACCTTGGATAGATGGTAACTCCTTTCATTTACCTGTCCACTGGCAGAGTATTGGATGGGCTTAGCTCCTTGTTTGGTTTATTTCCCATGGGTGAAGCAAAAAAATGGCCGCTCGCTCTTGGAACTCTTCAGCCCAAGAATGCACCCAAGAACAAGATGCCCAATAAGCAGAAATGGCTAATTGGTTGAAAGCTCATCAGCTGGAAAGCAATGCCAGAGGGCAAAATGCCTGATAGGACTAGCAGTCTGAAAAGGCGAAAAGCCAAGTCATAAAGTCAAATGAGAGGCATAAAGCCGAAAGTCAAATGTACTGCTCATTGAGGGTGGTAATATAACTCACCTGTGGGAAATGTACCAGAGATCTTAGCCAGCGAACAGGGAGATGAATCTGTGATATTGGTTTAAGATCAGGATCCTTGACAGTCTCTGGCCATCTGACAGTAGGCATTGGGAGATCTTAGGGAGAGAGCTTATCTGAGTCATAGCACGAATGTCGCTCCTTTGTTACAGTTTTGGGAGAAAGCTGGAGGGGTTTCTTTGTGTTTTAACATGGTGGGTTCCATGCAGGTGAGGGTGACCGAAGCACAGGGAATAACATGCCAGGTAGAAAGAGCTTGAGTGAGAAGTTTATTAGAAAGGGGAGTGAGGGGAAAATTAAAGAAACAAAGAGACACCAGAACAGAAGAGAAGAGAGAGAGGAGAGCATGCATGAGAGAATACAGAGATTGAAGACAGAGAAGCATTTACTTAAAAGGAGCAAGCCTACATACACATGCATACTGAATCCTTACTCAGTCTCATAAATCATGACATAGCCATGATGTTGCCATGCTAGGCATGCATATTCTACCCATCCTTAGTATGTGGTGTCAGCAAATGCCAGTTTTCAACAATTGTTCTTGGGGGGGGGTCTTTTTATATGGTATGGAATTGACCATAACAGAGTTTTTATTATTTTCAGATTTCTATCTTCGACAACAAGATAAAAATTTCAACAAGAATTCTAGTTTTATTTGTTTATTTTTCCTGAAACTCAGAGAAGAGCAACAAGAACAATGAATGCTTCTGTAGTAAATGCTCCCCAGGTTAGTGACATGTCCACATTTCTCTGAAAATTGCTTTTATTATTGAAACCACTTATATTTTTAATCTTAATCACTGGCAATGTTATTGAAAGTGTTTAATTTTGCATTATTCATCTATTTTCTCTTGTATTCAAGATTATAACTTTAACCTTTCAACTATATAGCAGAGACACTCTCCATTATATTTTCGCTTGATTTAATACTATGAAGTTATGAATTTCCATGGACGTTAGACTTGAAGTTCTAAATCACAAGCTATTGTAAATAACACTGAAGGACTATATTGATGTCCATTTTCTATATAGAATGGATCTGTGTTCTTTATAATAGAGAGGAAGGACAGACTCATGTGCCACATAGTTCCATTTCTGGAGTGCTCAGTTTTCCAGAAATAGGCTTATGAACATGGATATGCCAATACATAGAACTTTACACTGACATCACTGTGCAAACTATAGAAAAGTAGAATTATAAAAGACTCACTGTATTTAAACCTAATGATAAATAATTTAGCATCCTAGAGAGCCCAGATGATAGAAGTAATATGTGGCTACTGTTGCTAAAAAGTTGACGTGTTTGTGAGGAGATGGCCCTATTCTGGTTTCTCTTTTTGCCATATTATGTCACACAGTGATGAGGGGTTTGTTGACACTGGAAATGTATGAGTCTTAGAAGAGGTTGTGTTCAAAGCTCAGTGGGTAGCTCTCTTTAGGAAATTCTTATTTTTTCTTTATCTTTTGTCTCATTTTTCAGAAGGGACAAGAGCATTGGTGTCTCCACATTTGTATGGCATTTTGTGGAATATATTAGTAAGAATTTTCTTGGGATTACTGACTTGGTGCTACACATAAGCCTTTAAATTTTCAATCATAAATGCATTCCCCTGTTTATTTATCTTTTCTTTTGGAGAAAGAAGGCCCTCTCTAGCTTATGTTTTAACTCTCACTGAAGGGTTTTCTTACATCGGAGAAATTTTGAATAGTTGTGTCATATTTCAGGATATAAGGGTTTGTCTGCATATATTTACGGACATTGTACGAATGTATTATGCCCCTGGTTCCCTGAAGTCTGCACCAAACCCTTGGCACTGCAGTCAGACATTCTAGTTATTGCCATGTGTTTAGAGAGAATTAAACTAGGTTGTTATGGGTAGGTTTTCCTGGCGGTCTGGTCCCACTGCCACGACAGCCCCAAGTAACACACAGAGACATTGCATTAGATATAATTCTGTTGGCCAGTTACTAGTTTCTTATCGGCTAGCTCTGTCTTAAATATTAACCCATTTCTATTAACCTAAGTACTTCCACGTCGTCTTAGCTTACTGGAGAGAGGGGCTGGCGTTCTTCTCTCTATCCTCCATCTTGACTCTCCTCTCTACTACTTCCTCTCTCCTCCTAGTCTCCTAGTCCCACCTATCTTTCTTTCCTATTGGCCAACAGTGCTTTGTCCATTAACCAATAATAGAAACATATTTACAGAATGACATCTCCCATCACTAGGTATCTCTGGAGGAATAGCAAGTGACTTTTACTTCTGAGACATATCTTGAGATTGATGTACACTTGTGTAATTATTTAACACAGCATATTCTAGTTTTTTGAAAAATAAATGAGTAATTGTAAATGATAGTTATCTATAGTCCTGTTAGAAGAGTTACAATGTCTCTCATTCTATTAAATACATTTATGTGATAACAAAAAATAATTTTTTTCTTTACCTGAATACATTGCCACATATGCTTGTATTTACATATATAGCCTTAATTACCCCATAATGGAATTCATGGAATAGTTATTTTCAGGATTGTTTGTGTCAACTTTTACGGAAATTCAAATAACATGTTGTCTAACTCTCCTTTTCTATTTACTTCATGGTAACTATTCCTCATGAAATAGCTTCACAAAGTTTTTTATTCTGTATGTTGTTTGGAGCATATGGTATATGAAATGATTTTACACTCCTTATTCTCAAAGAGAAACTGAATCTAATTCAACCATGGATTCTGCATTCCATATTCTACCTCTTTGTTCTAGGCAGGGTTCAGCACTGTACCTATGCCTCAGGATCTGAACTGAACATCTTGGAATAGAGTCAATTGAACCTAACTTCAGACACCATTGGTGTCCATATTTAAGAAGGGTCCACAGCTATACAATTTCAAAGCATACATTTGCTCATAATAACTACACCATCAGAGACGGGACAATGAGATTCTGCTTGATGTCAGGACATACTTTATAACGGTACTTTCCTGCATCTAGAACTCAAATGTGGATGTTATTTATATTCCATAAAAGTCTGCTAACTGCAAGACTCTAATGTCATCTTGTTTTCACAGAGATAAAAAGTATAGTAGACTGAATATTTAGAAAGTATCTTTTATTAAAATTAAATTGTGCTTTTGTTTGATGTGTTTCTATGTGTTTGCCAGAAAGTGTCTGTACTAGGCATGTCTCCTGCCTGTAAGTTGTAGCATTGGATCTCATGGATCTGAGATTAAATTCTGTTTTGTAGTGCCATTTGTGTGCTGGGAATAAAACTTCAATTTCAAGGACTTTAAGTCATTATACACTGCCACCTGGAGACAAATTTTTCAGATTTAGGAATTGTAGCAAATCTTTTATGCTACTTGGGTCTTAGAAACCAATAGATAATTCCTGGAGGAGAGAGACCCAATGGATGTAAGCAGTGTACTATGTCTTCCCATACATTGTCATTGAGGGAATAGCAATGCAGCACTTATAGAAAACTCTTGTCAGTTAAAACTTTCCATCCCTCATCTATATCAAAATCGTCTCTCTAATTCATTAGATCTCCTTACTCAAGAAATCATTTTGAGAAGCAATGAATGCTCAATAATTAATTTTCCATTGCAGGGTGTGTTGTCACTCAGGGATGTGGTTGTGGACCTCTCACAAGAAGAATGGGAATGTCTAGACTATACTCAGAGAGCTTTGTACATGGATGTGATGTTGGAGAATTACAACAATCTACTTTTTGTGGGTAAGAATTCCCTTCATAGAATTCCATACTCATCTTTTTTATTTCCCTACTTTGTGTATCTGTAAACTCTCTGAATCTAGAAAATCCCAGAGATGAGGGACATTTTGCTTACCAGCACAACTTTTTAATGGTGCTTCATTTATATTTTCTGTGTTATCTGGAAGAGTAGCAAATGCTATATTCACCGTGATCTCTTTAGCCCGCCTATCTAATATACAAATAACATATCAAAGATCAAAGAATATTGAATAGTGCGGACATGGAAGTATATTATAGTACTTATCATAATTAGAATATATCTCTTTTGTTACTGGATGTAACTCTTCAGCTATTTCTTATTATGGACAGTGCAAAAGGTTTTAGACAAAGGGATGTTAATTATGAGAATGTTGGTTTGTTTATTTTTAAAATAAGATTGTTGTGTTTTAGTACTGGCACAACATGATTTTAATATTTACACTTTGGAGGGTGAAAGAATACATGCTGAATTCCCTGCTATTCTGGATTATGAGTTGCAAGTTATGAGAGTGTCTCTAAAACATAAGAAATGTGGAAATATTCCCATATGATCCTTCACAGTGCTTCTTTCTCAAGTTCTTTCCTTCCCCAACACATATGAGTCTTATCATAGACAGTGTTTACATAAGAATGAGATGGCTCTTCACAGGAATGACCTAGGTCCTCTACATATGTATCACAGACATTTAGTTTGTTCTGTTTGTGGGACTCCTAGCAATGGGGTCAAAGCCTTTCCCTAATGCTTTGGTTTGCTATTGGGGAACTATTTCTCAGTGTTGGTTTCTTCCCAAGCCTTAATACAAAGGAAGGAGCTTAGATATACCTCAACTTAATATGCCATGCTTTGTTGACACTCATGGGAGACCTGCCTCTTTTAGAACACTAACAGAGGAAGAATCGAAGGGAGCACAATGGGGAGGCAGGGAAAGGAAACTTGAAGAGAGGAGGGAAGGGAACCTACAGTCGGGTTACCAAATAAATGAAAAAGTATGAGTACACTACTATTGGTCCTGTGGTTTGATATATATCAGATAACAGATTATTTTGGTCTTTTTGGGGGGGTCTTTTTTTGAGACAGGGTTTCTCTGTGGGTTTGGATGTTGTCCTTGAACTAGCTGTTGTAGACCAGGCCGACAGGCTGATGTCAAACTCACTGAGGTCTACTTGCCTTGTCTCCTGAGTGCTGGGATTAAAGGCATGTGCCACCAATGCCTAGCTCAGATTAGAATTTCTCATGAGCATCCATTTAGTAAATGTGAAACAGAAACTTCATCTGTTAGGAGTTCTGTCCCTAAAAGTTACTAGTTTATATGTCATAGAAACCTAAGAAGACATCAGGTATTGAATCTGTTACTCATGCATTCATTGCTATTAATCACAATTGTACTCATTTTTCAGAGAACCATCACATATGTCTTAAGGGTGAGAAGGTCTTGCATGAGGAGACAGAGCATTTTATCCATGATCATGCAAGTATCCAAGAGGAAACTTACAAATGTAGTGAGCTTGTCAAAGTGGTTCTTGAATCCTGCCTTCATACACCTGATGACACAAGTGATCCTGTAGAAAATTACAGTAAGTACAGATTTGGAAACCACAGAGATGCTTCTGTCTTAACCTTAAATCTCAACAGACACAAAAATGGGAATGCTGGAGAAGAACCTCGCAAATGTGAAGACTATGTGACTTGTTTAAATTTGTTTTCTGTCATTAGCCAAAATGAACGATATCACACAGGCGTGGAAGAACACAAAAATGATCACACAGGCGTGGAAGAACACAAAAATGCAGAGTCTGATAAATCTTTTGTCTGTGAAAGAGAAATGACACTGAAAGAAACTTATAGTGGGAGGAAACCACACCAATGCAGGAAATGTGGAACATGCTTCAAGACTCACTCCAGCCTCATTAGGCATCAGAGAACCCATATTAGACAGAAACCTTATAAATGTACAAAATGTAGTAAATCATTTCTGCATTCTTTACAACTCAAGGTACATTACAAAATCCATGCTAGAGAAACAGTCTACTCATGTACAGAATGTGGTAAATGTTTTGCTCATAAATCAAACTTTAGAAGACATTACAGAATACACACTGGACAGAAACGTTACAAATGTAATGAATGTAACAAATCCTTTTTTCGTTCCTCATCTCTAAGAATCCATCAGAGAAGACATACAGGAGAAAAACCTCATAAATGTAATGAATGTGACAAACGCTTTATCACAAGCTCTCTTCTCAAAAGACATCAGATAATACATACAGGAGAGAAACCTTACAAATGTAGTGAATGTGATAAATCCTTTAACATAAAATGCAATCTTAGAAAACATTACAGAGTCCACACAGGAGAGAAACCTTACAAGTGTATTGAATGTGACAAATCTTTTGCCCATAAATGCAATCTCAGAATTCATCAGACAAATCATACAGGAGAGAAACCTTACAAATGTACTGAATGTGACAAATCTTTTGCCCAGAAATGCCATCTTATAAAGCATCAGAGAGTACATACAGGAGAGAAACCTTACAAATGTACTGAATGTGACAGATCTTTTGCCCAGAAATGCCATCTTAGAAATCATCAGAGTACACATACAGGTGAGAAACCTTACAGATGTAGTGAATGTGATAAATCCTTTACCCAGAAAGGGTCTCTTACAAAACATCAGCTTATTCACACAAGAAGAAAGACTTACTAATGTAGAGAATGTGGCAAACTTTTCGGTTGTCTTAGAAGACATATGAAAAGTCATATAGGTGATAAACCTTACATAATGTGGTGAGTGCTAGAGATCCTTTACACAAAAGAAAAGCTTGGAATGTATACATTTGAGAAACTTTAGAATGCATTGAATGTGACAAAACCTTTCTCAGAATATGTTGCAGGATATTTGATTAGACTCTGAAACCTGAGTGTTAATAATATCAAACTTGGATCAGGGTTGGAGTCTAGAAGTACTTGATAGGAAATAGCCACATGATATAGAGACAGATAGAAACACAGGAAGGAGTAGGTAATAACTTAAGAGTCTTTCACTCTTTTTGGGTTGAGGTGGTTGTAGGGACACTCTCTTTCTGGATCTGTAGCCAAAGAAAAAGGTCAACAGGTTGTGTCTTGCTTGCTGATCTTGCAGGTTTTCACCCCCAGATCTAACTCCTGAGTCTGTGTCAGTAAGTAAAACAGTAGACACTTAGTTAAAAACTACATATGGTGACTATGGCAGAGTGAGTGCAGGAAGACTAGAATTCCCACCAGTGTTCCACTTGAGCAAAAGGGTGCTGATTGCATGGTTGTGGAGCCACAGTCAGGTGCATTCTCTAAACTTATAGGAAAATGATATGAACACATCAGGAAATGCATACAGAAGAGAAATCTTACAAATGTAGCAAATGTGAGAAATCCTTTAATTTTTGCTCATTTTTTTTAGAGTACATTATAGAACTCATTCAAAAGAAAACCCTTACAGTGGTCGTTATCTTAGTTTGGGTTGTATTGCTCTGAAAATACACCATAACCATGGCAACTCTTTTAAAGGAAAACACTTAATTGCTGTTGGTTTACAGTTTCAGAAATTTAGTCCCTTTTCTTCATTATGGGAAACATAGTGACATGCAGAAAGACATGCTACTAGAGAAGGAGCTGATCCTTAGGAAGGAGAAAGTGACCTGTATACTAAATATGGCTTAAGCATGTTACAGACATCAGTCCCTGCCTCCCTGGCGACACACTTCCACATAGAGCCACATTCCTGATTGGTGAAGTATTTAAATGTGAATCCACAGGGACAATATCTATTCAAAGACCATAATTGATAGTATGAGAAACCTTTAATCTAAAAAAATTGCCCTGAGTATTTATATCGAAGAGAAAACTTACAAATGTGTAAGGAAAAGTCTTTACCTGCCTCTCAGTTCTAAGAAAAGATCTGAAAATTCATACCAGCAGAAAAGTTTTCATGGAAAAAAAATGTCATGTTTTAACTAAGCTCTGTTCTTAGCTACACTATGATTCCACACTAGAAAATCATGAACATGAAAAACTTGTGAAAGCCTATAGGTTATGTTAAAAATCATAGAAAAACATTTAGAGTTTGTTATGCAAACAAATTTGAATATATAAAAATGGAGGACAGTTTTCATTAATACTTTTTAGTTGTTCAAACTCAAATACTTCATAATGATTACAAAGCAGAGGAACTTGAAGTATATGCTGTTGTGTTATAGTTACCTGGACATTGGAATGATATAATCTGAAAGGAAGCTGATTAAGCACAAGATTTTGAAGAAATCCTGAAACTGAAATGATTCAGTGTTCTCAAATGTAGAAACTCAGACAAGTTATGCACCTGAAAAGGTGGATTTTACCCATCAAAATAGTGTGCTCTTTAACTTGGAAATATGCCTACAGATATGTAGTATGCTCCATGTGTGCATAATTCATAAGCTATATTACGTGCTGGTTTTTAATTTCATGATAGCAACTGTGTTTGAGTCCCTTATGCTCTGGTAAACGACTGCTTCTCCATATTCCTGTACTTAATTCCAATAAAGCTCATTGACAGAAAACATTGGACTTGATACTGCTTTCAGTTTCCATTTCAATTGAGTAGATGCACATGCATTTTGCACCTTCCCAGGAAATGTCTCATTAGACATGTGCTGAACCCATGGATTTTTCCTCCAAACCTACTATAAACAGAGACTTGATAATAGAGTCGCAGTTCTCAAACTGGGGCTTGTGAGCCCTTTGTGATTTCATGGTGGTTGCCATTGTCAATGGTTTTAGGAACTGAGATACTATGCCTGTTGTCTCTATGTGGGTTGCAACACTAGGAAAGTTGGAATCACTATGTTAGAGAAATGGCATTTGAGTCTATAAAAAGGAAAAGATTGTTTGTACTCGATTGCTCCAGGCTTAGATTCATGGCAGTGCTTGATTAAGTTATCAAGTTACCACACATACAGAATGTAGATACTTTGAAAGCTCAAATAGAAAGCTGCTTTCTTTCTTGAATTAAAGGAGTAACAGAGAAGCCTAGAAAAGGACAAAAGACTATAGAGCTATAAAACTGTCAGTGACAGACATTGTTACACTCTTCCTGCCAGTCTGGTCCCACTACTGCATCAGCCCTAAATGAATACACAAAAACTTTATTAATTATAAATCGGTTGGCCAACAACTAGGGCTTTTTATTGGCTAGCTCTTAATTATTAACCCATTTCTATTAAGGATTTCTACATGTTTTTTTTTTAACATATCAATCCCAGTTCCCTCACTCCCTCCGTTCCTCCCTCTTTCCTCTCTCCCATCCTCCCCTGTCCCCCCCAGCACCCTCCTCTCCCATCCCCCCCACTCCACATGTAGGGTAATGCCTTTCAGGAGGGATTATCTAAATCTGTCAAGTCATTTGGAGTAAGGACTAGACCTTCTCTCCTGTCTCTAGGTTAAGGAGTATCCTCCATGGGGAATGTGCTCCCAAAGTCCTTTTGTGCACCAGGGACACATCCTGGTTCCACTGTCTGAGGTCCTTTAGACTGCTCAGGCCTTCTAGCTGAGACCCATGTTCAGGGGGTCTACATCTGTCCAATGCTGGTTTCCCAGCTATCAGGCTGGGGGACCAGTAGCTCCCCTTGTTCAGGTCAGCTGTCTCTGAGGGTTTCTGTAGCCTGGTCTTGTCCTCCCTCTCTGCATCTGGATTCCAGTTCGGCTCAGTGTTTAGCTGTGGGTGTCTGCTTCTGTTTCCATCAGCTACTAGAAAGGGCTCTATAATGGTGGATAAGTTAGTCATCAATCTTTTTATCAGTAAAGGGTATTTATAGTAGCCTTTCCACTGTTGGATATAAATATTCAAAAGATGCTTCACAATTTTGTTTTCATCTAAAGTGAGTTTGCTAACTTTAAAAATTGTGTGGCATGATAAATTCAAACAACATGCACATTGGGCTTGCCTGGATGTAAGATGTAACATAAGAATACAGCATATGAAGACACATTTCTGAATGCTGTATTTACAACTTAGACTGCAAATGTCTCTGATGGAAAATTAATGGGATGTAAAATGTTTGATTAATGCTTACAACCATATGTGTGGTACTCCATGAACTATATTTTGTTTTATCATATCCGCACTGATTCCTTGTAGGATTATTATCTACAAAGATGTCACAGCATGCCTAGTCTCGGGGACAAAAGACACTGTCTTGAAGAGGCAAGCGGTAAAACAGGGGTTTTAGAAGCATGGAGGAATTTAAATTGCAGGAGCTCTGGAATTGCCACCATAGCAAAGAGAATGCTGTTTGCAAACAACAGACAATGCAAATGCTCTACTAGATTGTTTTAAGATTTATTTTAATGGCAGAATAGTCTGGCAACCATAAGATGGGTGGGGGGAGAAGAAACACAGAGCAGTACCCACTTCAGGGTAACTCAAAGTTACCATCAATGGAAAGTTATCAACAACAGAATATTGAAAGCTATGTCTGTAAGAAAAAGCTGTACAAAGCTGCATACCTCTGGCAGCTGGCAAGGTGGACCACTAGGTGAACATGTCATCTGCAGTGGATTTAGGGTGAGAGGTTAACTGTGGGAAGAGGATGAGCAAAAAAGCAAAAGGCCGCCTCAGAGTGGGGTCAGGAGAGATGGAGACCCCAAGAAAGAGATCTGGTCAGAGAGCAAACCAGGAATTGTGACAGACAACACTTTTAAGGGATGTGCCTGGTTCACAGGGAAGCAAGCACCCAGCTTGTGGTGACAGGAATGACCACACCTCTCCACAGGTGATGACCTGAGCTGCCACCTCCTGCACCACCACAGGCGGGCCTGGAGCTGACAGTGTCCTTCTGAGCAGCCTCAGCTAGCACAGCCCTGCTCCCCTCCCTCCTGGGTCCCAGCCCCACAGCTCCTCTCACCTGGGAGGTTCCAGGGCTGCTGACTGTGACTTTCCCAAGCCGCCCCTCGTGGAAACTGCAAATCCTGGGAATTTTCAGGTCCTGGCTTTCCTCACCCAGTTCTGGACCACGAGGCTCTCCGAGTACAATAGGAAATGGCGGAATTTCCGGTTCCTTCAGTCTGATTCCTTGGACAGTCTCCTCTTGGCTCAGCCCACTACACCTCGCTTCCGGTTCCAAATACTGGAAACCAGCCAAGCATGGGATCATTTTCATTATTACTTTCATCAGACATACTTATTGCACAAACATACAAGCTGCCTTAGCACTCAAACACATCAAATCAAATCAGAACAAACCAAACTCCAAACCTAGTGGAGCATGGTCTGCTGGAGACAGTTTATTCTCAACGCTAAGCATCCAGAGAAATGTTTAACTTATTTGCTTGTAACCTTATGTGTTTGTGTTTCTGATGAGCAAACAGCTATATAATAAGCCTTCCACTAAAGAGAAAGGGGGAGGGAGAGGGAGAAGGATAGGGAGAGGGAGACAAACAAAAAACAACAGAAAAAAAAAATGGTCACAAAATCCTTTAAGAAAATTGCACAAAGAGGCTTGTTTTAATTCCTGCAGGGATGTAAGCTAGTTCATATAGAAAAATCCAATTGGAGTTTGCAGAAATGATAAGTGAATTACCATATATATTTCCCTATAATGATGAGTTAATAAAAAATAAAACTATTTAACAGGTACAAATTTATCCATATAATACAGCAAATTTTAGATTTGAGAGAAGAAATGTGATGATTTTAATGTAGTCATAAAAGATCTATGGTAAATTTTCATATTTGGTCATTGTGAAAGATTTTAGAGTCAGGGAGTAGGAAGAAGATAC